TCCGATTTGCAGATTTCGGTGCATTACCAAAACGAATGTTGGCACCGATCGAAGGTTATGAAAAGATGCCATTGGTAACACTCGAAGAGGCTGTGAAGCCTCTTGTCAAAATCGTGCCGAAAGTCGAGCGCAATGTAAAGGTGGTCAAAGAAAATTGTCAAGAACCCGCAGATGGCTTGACGACTGACGAATCGGCTTCAATTATGTTGTACACGTATGAGTCGATGCCGACTGAAGACTCATTGTACGTTAAACTGAACCAAACCTTACGCTCTGAACAACGAAAAAATTTAATTCCATGGTTCCTGTATCTTCGGCTCATACTGACGGCGCTAGCTCGTCTTCCATCAAAGAGTCGTTTCGTTTTTCGAGGAATCCGAGAAAACTTGTGGGCTGACTATCCACAAGGCAAGACTTTCATTTGGTGGGGATTTTCATCGTGTACTACGTCAGTCGGAGTGTTAGAGAACGAGCAATTTTTCGGTAAAACTGGAAACAGAACTCTATTTCAAATAGAGTGTACAACATCAAAAGACATAAAAAAACATTCATTTATAGCCGATGAAGATGAAGTACTTTTATTACCCGCGAGAAAATTTCATGTCAAATCTTGTCTCGATTCTGGCCATGGACTTCATATTGTACAAGTCGAAGAAGTGACTCCAGAGTACGATCTTCTTGAACCGGTTCCAGTACCAGATCCAGTGGTGAAACCCAAAAATGACATCCAAGGTAAATCTCAATGTGACGATTTCTAGATAGAAGAAGAGTTAGTGCTGATGGAATTACGCTTTATTATATTTCTTCCTATCAAGAATCGTGCCATTTACATACAAAGCACACACTTATATACGTAACCAGAAGAGAGAATAGAAAGTACAAGTAGAACGGAAAGAGATATAGATAATAGAAAGGAAAATAATAAAATAGAGTGGCTATGACGATGTCATCACACGCCCAAACAGAAATCAGACGCACTCCTGGGCGTCTGGGAGCAAATACAAAGAGGTGAGACACATACAACTAAGGAAAGAAAAGTAACAGCTGGGAAAGAAATTGGAAGTAAAATGGCTGCATTTGTTATTTTGTTGTGCTGTTCTGTAAACAGTTGGTTGGCAGATCGTTTGTTGTCAATGTCATAGATTCGGACAGTTGGCATTAAGAAGTAGAGTTTTTGTTGATAACCTTGGAATATAATTAGCAGGAGCAAGGTTGAAGCGAAATATGAGGTTGACTGCTTGTAGTTGTCTATCATGGAAGCAATAGCGTAAAATTCATTAGACAAACCACCAAGCAATAAAAGAGGAACACTTCCGATGAATTCTGCTCATTGACCCTTGAGGAGGTGATAAGTCACAAGAATATCACACCAGGACTTGAGAGTTTGAATTCGGGTTTAATGACGGTTGATAGCGTAAAATTGTTGACACAAATCACCAGATTGCAGAAGGGGAACACTTTCAAAGCATTCTGCTCACAAACTAATCGACGATTTGATCAACTCGTCAATATCTCAACTAGACATGCAACGAACCCGAACTCGAGTTCGGAGTGCGGACCCAACGGTTCGGATTCGAGCTCGGTCTTAGGGTTCGGGTTCGGATTGGAATTCTTAATTAGAATCGATTTTAATTGGTCACTACCTAATAATGAATGAATAGTGTATAATAATTTTTTATGGATTATAGTCGATTTGACAACGCATACTCAGGACATATCAAAATTAGTGGCGGAGATATCTCAATTTCGTATAGAATGTTTGAAGAGGTTTTCTTTTTATACAAACTTGTAGTAAAAACAAAGCCCTGCATGTCTACACTATTTGATCTTTATTCATTTAATATCGTAATAATAAAATTTCTATAAGATCTGTTTTTCTATAATATATGGTGGTTATTCTAATGTCTATTTGATATTTTCTGAATAACTTTTGATAGAAACAAGATACAGAGTTGCGGTTTCTATCGTTTGAAAGAGGTGATGAGGATTCGTCGAGCCATACATTATAGGTTTTCCTATCATATTGTCTGATGTTTGTTTAATCAATTTTCTAAATGTAGTGAAACTGGTTTTACATATCAGAAATGAAACAGCAAAAAAATTTTTACAGGAATCGCCAGAAAAATCACTTACGGTTTCGACTAGGATACCTATAATTTCTGAGTAATTAGTTCTAAGCCTGTGAATCTTGTGCAGGTTGGTAGGGCTTTCATCAACGGTTTGAGTACATACCTGGCAATTCAGAATGCACTGTAAACACCTCATGAGTAGGTTTTTTTCAAAGAGGTCGATTGGAACCTTTAAAAAAATCATGTCAATAAACCTATAATATATGACTTGATGCATCTTCATTACCTTTTTCGAAAAATGAAAAATGCAGCTATTTGTTTTGTTTTCATCAAAAGTTATTCAAAAAAGCTTTTTAGCGCAGCCCCTTTTGGGCTGAAATGTGGAACTCACATATCTTCTTTAGTTTCACTGTATTAATGGCAAAATATATAATGTTTAAATTCTCTCAAAGATGATAGTTCTTTTCTAATGATAATTGATTGTCAGCAAATGTTGTCTTTTTTGTGAAACACGATCTGAAAGGAGTGTTGAAGTGTATAGGGTAGAAATTTTGCACACACTCCCCCCACAGATCATGACAGAGAAATTTCATACCCATCACAGACCGTGACAGAGAACCCTGGGACCCATCACAGACCGTGACAGAGAACCATGGGACCCATTACAGACCGTGGCAGAGAACCATGTGACACATCACAGACCGTGACAGAGAACCCTGGGACCCATCACAGGCCGTGACAGAGAATCCCCGTACCCATCACAGACTGTGACAGAGAATCTTCCTACTCAGCACAGGCCGTGACAGAGAAACTGTAGTTGTAAAGCATCAGATAAACGGTTAGCTACCAATGTGTCGCAAAGAAATAGAACAAAAAGATTTTCATTTAATTAGTAACACTAGATCCATCGTGTTTCACATTTTTAATCCCGCAGGGGATTGCGCTAACAGCTTTTTATTTATATGCTTCAAACAGAATTTTTTTGTGAAGTTGCTATGATCTGTAATGGGGGGGGGGGGGGGGGGGGGGTGTCTGTAATGGGAGCCTGTCTGTAATGCGGCGTATGTCTGTAATGTTCTCTTCCGTTGCTGTGATCTGTAATGGCGGCCTGTTTGTAAGGAGAGGGGAAGGAGGTGTGGGGAGAGCCGCGAAACCTCGAGCTTAAAACTTACACTCACTATTTTCTTCGAAAATATATGTGAGTTCCACAAAATATCAAATAGACATCAATATAATCGACATTTATCATAGAGAAACAGATTTTATTGAAACTTTATTATGATACTAGATGAATAATGATTGAATAGTGTTGAAATGCCCGGCTTTGTCATTCCTAGAAGTCTATATAAAAAGACAATTTATTTAGGCAATAAATACGAAATTACGATACTTTCGCCAATACTTTTGGTATACCCTAAGAATAACAATCAGAGACATTTTTTGTATAGCTGAAAAGATTGGTTTAGTGTCATTAAAATCGAGATATTTCATTATTCTTCGGGTTGAAAAATTTCTCTGGTTCAGTTATTTTCATCTTCAGAAAAGAAAAACAAGTATAAGGTGAACGTAAAGTTTTAGAAAGACATATTAGAGATAAAGCTCTGAACACATTCAACGACTACCATCCTCCTTCTGAATAGAAAGTGCTCTTGAATAAATGAAGTGAAAAGATATTAGAAGACCTTATCTTGAGAAACTCAATTTTTAAATTAATTTTTCATGATTATTGAATTAGTTTAGTACTCAATTTCATTATAATATGCGGATTTAGTATCGAAAATGTTTTGTTTGTAACCAGATCGAATTGTAAGTTTCGAGTTATAAAATTCTCGACCGGCAGCTAATATGAAACAATAGCCTAACCTCTATCAAGAAAGTCTTCGTACAAAATGTTTGTTCATTTTTCGGCCACTTAGAAGTAACTTGAGAAAATGAAAAGTAGCCAGTTAGAATTAGAATTTGATGCTCTCTTTAAATGTGTATTCAGAATTTTCTTCTAACTTGAAGTTGAATCAATGAGAGTAAATCTTTGATGTAGACCAAAAATGACGTTTTTACAAAGAACTAGTTTCAAAGGTCGTAGTTAATATGTTTGCTGATTTTTCGGACATTTAAACGTAATTGAAGAGGATCGAAAGTTGTCGATTGGAACCAGAATTTGATGCTCTTTCAAAATATATCCTTAGAATTCTTCTCTGACTCACGGCTAGTTAGATTTAAGAAAATATCTAAATCAATAAACAAAAACTTATTTGTACCACGCAAATGGACTTTTTACTATCATTCGTAATTTCTCTAAAGAGTAATTGGAAAAATTTTGTACTTTCTATTGCTGTAAAGAATTAACTGTTCCTCAAAATCATGGCTGCAATAAGCAAGAACTCAAAAGAATCAAAAGCTAGCAACATTTTTCGAAGTGCTACTCTTTACATATGATGATATTATTTAAAATAATCGTTTTCTGCGATTTGCGGTATTTAAAGCGCAAGAGATTCTGATGATTTGCAATGATATTTTGAAGAGGAGCTGCAGAATTCTCGCCAAGCAGAATTCAGAATTTAAAAATCCGATTGGTAAACAGTGGATTGGCTCACTAAGATAAATTTTCATTAGTGAATAAACTACTAAGCATCACATTAACTTATCAACCCGTCAAACAACAGATTTCTGCTAAGAATTCAAAAATTACACCAGAATTTTGATAGAATTCTATTCCTAATTGCAGAAGGTAAACAAGATCAGCAGAGATCAACATATACTCCGGGCCACTCTCCAATTCTAGTGAAGAATATAAAAATAGCAACAGAATGTAAACAGAATCCTGTCACAAGTAACAGAACACAAACTTTCAATAGGCATCCTAGAATCGTCTATCTTCAACAAAAAAAAATTCTAGAGAAGAATTTAAAAGTATCAGCAGAATTTAAACAGGATTCTGTTCCGACTAATAGAATAAAAACTTTCAATTGGCATACTAAAATCGTATAACGCCAACAGGAAAGAAAAATTCTAATGAAGAATTCAAAAATATCAGCAGAATTAAAGTAGAATTCTGCTACAAGTAACATAAGACAAACTTTGAGTATGCATACTAGAAGTGTATATCTCTAAGTGGAAAGAAAAATCCTAATGATGAATTGAAAAAACGAGCAGAACTTAAACAAAATTCTATTACGAGTAAGAAAAGATAAGCTTCGAATATGCATACTACAGGTGTATATAGGCAACAGAAAAGAAAAATTCTAATGAAGAATTCTAACACACCAGAACAGAATTTTATTATCTAATGAACACCAACACATATAAACATTATCTCTGATAGCATGGTGTCCTACAGAACTCCACACAGGATTCAAACAGACCAGAACAGAATACGTTGTCTTTGATAACATAGAATTCTACAGTATTCTACAGAATTCTAAGCAGAATTTAAACAGACCAGAACTGAATAGGTTGTCTTTGATAATACAGAATTCTACCGAATTCTAGGCAGAATATAAAAAAACCAGAAAAGAATTGTACAATCCTTTGATCGCTAGCTCGTGTAAAGTTTGCCTTGTGGAACATAGAATTCTTTTGAGTAATAAGAAGTTAAAAACAGAATTCTAGTGTGTGATAGCCATCTCGTTTTCAAAAAATTAATAAATTCACAGAATTATGAATTCTGATTGGTAGGCATCCTGCAACTG